CTGGTGCCTGGCCTACCGAAGACGCGCAGTGGCAAGATCATGCGTCGTGTGCTGCGCAAGATTTCTCATGGCGAAGAGGACTCGTTGGGCGACGTGTCGACCTTGGCAGATCCGTCTGTAGTGCCGACGTTGATCACGAACACGAAGGCTTCGCTTGCCGGCAAGACATTCTAAGGCTACGGAAGGCAGAGGCACGTCGGCACTGATATTGCCGTCTTGATTAGCTCCGGGTCATGTCGTATTGTATTTTAGTACTGTCGATCATATATTTTTAAATCGATTCTAAACTTATTTGGTGCTTTTTCAGATTTGGCTTCACCAAACTGCAGAAAGGCGGCACTTCAACTTTCGACCATAGAAAAGTGTGTACCACATCACGTAGTGTACCGCACACGCCTGACGCTGGACTTTTGCGCCGTTTCCCACTCTATTTTCCCATTTGCGCTCAGTATACCTGGTGTGCTGGTCTCAAGCACATCAGTGGCTGCATCATGTTGGCCTCGTCCAAGCGGTGTCGCGCGCCCAGCGACAGCGACGACTACCTCCCTGCTGCTCACAACTACCAATTGGCGCCCATGAAGGCGCTTCTGCGCTCAGCCAGACGAGATTTCTGCCTAGACAGTCTACAAAACTCGTTCCCCATCAAGTCCGAAGAAGATTCAAAGCCCCAAGAATCAGCACTAAAACACGAGCAAGTGGGCAATAACTCAGACCAAGAGCTCAACCAAAAGTGCCGCATACTGGCCGAACTGATCGCTAATTCCCGACACCTGGTGGCCTTCACGGGCGCCGGCATCAGCACGTCCGTGGGCATCCCAGACTACCGCGGAGAGCACGGTATCCGCACCAAGAACTTTAAGAAACGACAGAAAATCGACGAGGATAATGATGAGAGCAGTGATGCAGACGAAAGCGACGTTAAAATCGAGGAGAGCAAGCCTATAATCCCAGATTTTAACAAACTGGTGCCTTCCACGACGCACATGGCACTCCATGAGCTCCATCGACTGGGCTACTTGAAGCACGTTGTTTCCCAAAATGTGGATAATTTGCACCTAAAAAGTGGCATACCGGCGAGTGCGTTGACGGAGGTGCACGGTAATGCCACTCACGCCAAGTGCGAGACTTGTGAGAAGATTTATACCAAGGACTTCCCGTGGACCGGGCTGTGTGACGACCCCGAGTGCGTAAGTACAAAACGGCCAGTCGAGCAGAGACTGAGAGCTCGCACACGACACGGTAACGGCAGGTTGAAACGGAACGTCGTGGGTTTCGATGAGCCGCTGGGGGATATTGACTTGGCTATCGACGAATGTGAGGCAGCCGATGTCGCGCTGGTACTGGGCACGTCTCTAAGAGTCGAACCGTTCTCGGAAATGGCTGGAGACTATGCAGGATCGCTGTGTATTGTCAACTTGCAGACGACAACATCGAAACTGGATCGTCGAGCGGAGGAAACGGGAGTTCGGCTGTTTGAGAAGACGGATGTGGTGATGGAGAAGATGATGCAGTATCTGATGAATGACCCTAGTTATCGTGTTCCCAAGTGGACTGGACAACATCCAACCTCTGTGTTTGAACCTGAGCACGAGAGCAAGAACCTCGTCAACGTACTCGCTGGGCGTATGCTATCATGACAGACTTGCCTCGTCACCAAGCTGGTAATTTATATATCTTGCAGTTTTTTTTTCCTAACGGGCAATAATTTTTTTGAAGAAACACGAGAATTCTATGCGTTAAAAAAACATTGACGATCTGATCTCTACGCCTCGTTCATGAGCGCCGTAATTTCCTTGTAGTCTGCGATAAGAGCGTCTAGTTCTTCCGAGTATTTTGTAGTGACAATGACATCTTCCACAGGGGCAGACAAATCAGACGCCTTCTTCAGACAAATCTTATACTGCGGGTACGAGCCGCCACAATACGCAATGTCTGCATACTCACAGAATGCGAGCATGGAGCCATCGCGACCGAGGATGTGCATGCCGTAGCCGTTCACAGCGATGACAAAGTAATTAGGCAGTTCGATGCCCAGACAATAGTTGAGTCCGTTGCCAGAGCCCTTGGAGCCGCGGTTCACCAACTTGGAAGGGAAGAAGCAGGCGCCGTACAATCTGTGGCGTGTTACCTCTTCAATGTAGATGCGTTGCAGCTCACTGACTGGGAACAAGGCGTCATGCTCGTCCAGGAGGTTATCTGTGATGGTATCCAGCACCAATTCACTCCATTCTTCCTCGTCATGTGCTGGTCGCCACTCCTGAGGGAGATAATCCAACACACCCATCTCTATGATCTCCTCTACCGTCAGAGGCGGCACATCTTCACAGTCCACAGCGATAGCGAGCGCCGTAAGGCGAAGCAGAGCCTCCTCTTCCAGTACAGGCAGGTTTCCTTTCACGATCTCGTCCTGTACTTGGATATACACCAGCCGGTCGTACATTTCGTCCGTGTACTGCAGCATGTACACCGGGTTCAAACGGATCTTGAGCACGAACCGTACGTCGCGTCCACGGATCAATTCCTTCTCGAAGATATCGCCGAGAAACACATCCGAACTCAAGAACGAAGGCGCTGCGATGAACTTGTGGAAATAACTCGTTGGAGATGACGACGAAGTGGTCGATGATGTCGACGTACTGACTGTAAGGACTGGAGGAGGCGGGATCTCTTTGGTAGCTTCGTTGCCATCAGCCGCAGGGTCATCGCTCGCAGACACGAACGAAGTGGTCGTTGTAGTTGACTGGCCACTCTTACCGAGCACAACACGCTCGGATATTGTCGTGAGGCCTAAGAAGTTGACGACATGGTCTTCAAGACCGAGGAAGTGCGAGCAGATCTCGATCAGTTGTGATACTGTGAGCTCTGGTGTGACCGGGAAGGCGTCGGCCAACGGCGTGCCGTCTAGCAACTGGATCGTTGCAAGGAATGGCGGTCGTGCTTCGTAGCCACGAATCTCGTCAATGCTGGGGATAAAACCAGTGGCGCCATTCTCCAACAAGTTCTCCAGTTTTTTAAGCGAATAGGCCGCAAAGTTGCGTACAAGTCGCCAGAAGCTGTTGGAGTCAGCCACTTGAGCCTTCAGAAACATGATCACGTACTTCTGGAGCGCTAGTGACGGTGGGAACGACGTCGCGCACATGGCAAACAACGACCAGCCGCGAATACTGCTGTCTCGCTTCGGATTCTTCGTCAGTTGCTTCATAAGTTGCAGATAAATTTCGTCCACAAGAGAAGGCTTCATCAGTCCGATCTGAAGAATATACTGCGCCAGCATCTCGCGGTAAAAGACTATGCGGTCTCTCATGTATCCCAGGATGCAGCGGTTAATAGACAGAGCCATTTGCCCAGCCGATGCAGACGTAGCGAGAGATGAAGTTTCGTCCGGATTGTCGTCAAGAACTGACAAACTCTGCGAGATCGCGCGACTCTCCCAGCATAATTTCTTCGCCAGAGCACGCTCGGATTGAGCGTTGAATCCCCTCAAGTTCTCGAAATGATTGAACGCCACTGCATCCTTCTCGGCGCCGTGCTTGGATTTTTTGTCACTTGAACTGTCTGCACTATCCTCCTCGTTCGACACTCCAGGCCACTCGGTTGTATCGCAACGTGGACGTTCACCTTCGTCCAGTACACTAGGTCGACTGCTGCTCTCGCTGTCGTTGCGAGTAAGCGTTCCCGGTCCACTCGAGCGCAGTCGATCGCCTGTCACTACAGATCTCCGTCGAGCTGACACCATCTTATCTTCAGCCTTCATTAGCAGTCGTTCGTGAACACCAGCTTCTCTTGCTGCTTGGATACTAAGCTCTAGCGCTCCAACAGACGACGCGTCAGTAGGGAGTGCCAGCGTTGATTCAAGACGAGCAGCAGCAGCGATACGAGCCTCTAACTTGCGACGCAAGTTGCCTGCATTAAGAAGGATCTGTTCCCGCTCTGCATCGTCGTATTTGGCTTCATTGTCACCACTTGAAGGGTTGGAGAACTCCTCGATTTCCGTGGACAGGAGCTGCACCGCGTCTTCTCGAATCTCGGCGTTGGCTTCCACCCGACGAGTCAACAGCTGAATGGCAGCATGGAGTCCGTCCATTATAGCAGCATCATCGGCTGCATCGTCGTTCGCTCCACCTCTCAGTTTCGAATAGCGGTCGAATAGCGGAGCAAATAGAGGAGAGCAGAACCCGATACTGATGGACTGTCCAAGTTCATGTTCCACGACTTTGGGATCGTCGGTATCAAGTGCTTGGCTTAGAGCTTCCTCGACACTCGCCACTTGTTGCAATCGCGCCATCTTTGCATCGAATGCACCTTGTAACTGGGACGGAAGGGTAGAGCGTAGCTGGTCGAGATCAGTGACATGATGAGCCTCCCAGATCTGCAAGAACAGGCCGATAGGTGCAGGTTCTGAAGCTTTCTTCTCTTTCTTCACCTTCTTTATTGTCTTCACCTTCTTCATAACAATCCTCGTCTTGGTAGATGCTGGCTTTACTGCAGAAACTGGAGCTGGAGGAGGACTTTCGCCTGATTCGGCAGCAGCCAGCAACTTTTCGCGTTCCCTTTCGGCGTTTTTAAGATTGAAATCCCACTTCGCTAAGCCCACGCCGACAGCAGCTTCAATCGCTTCAGACAACAATTCAATATCTTGTGACATCTTAGCGACGGCTAGAAACTTCACCATTTGTTTGCGCTCAGAATGTGCACTGGCAGGGACAGCTTGAGCCTCTAAAGCGCGTTCTGCATCTACTGTTCGAGGATCTCCATCAGGAACGCCAAGAGCTCTTAGTCGAACCAATACCCTCTCCACAGCGACAAAGTTCTCGTCATCTAGAGCCTTTTGAAGGGCAGCAACTAAGTTGGTCGTGTCAGCAGATCCAGCAGAAGAACTTGGGGTGATAACCTCTTCTTCAATCTCTTCTTCCACTTCCACCTCGACCTCTTCTTCAATTTCCTCTTCTTCCTCGTCCGTAACAGCCTCCACATCAGTAGGAATCGTCCCCAGTGTGTCCACAAGTGTAGGCAATTTCGCTTCGACACCCAAGCTGATTGCCTTCGTTGCAGGACCCAGCAATTTATTCAGAATCGTAGCGTCATTATCATCTTCCTTGATCGACGAAAGAGCGTGTGTGACAGACTCCACGGCGCTTTTCTCCTCCAGTGCACGAATGATCATCATCGTCGCCAGTTTTCTCTCCAATGACTCAACTGAGGGCTCCTCAAGTGTCGCCAAGGAGCCCATAAGCGCCTCCGGATCGTTAGCAATCATAGAAGCACGCAGCTTCTTGTTAACTGCAGCGAGTTTCTCCGTCTTCTGCTTTTGCATCGCCACGATACTCTTGCTTTTTCTTCGCAAGTGGTCCACTGCAAGCCAGGGCGAACTCTTCTCCGCCACACGTACAGCATACTCGATCAAGGCTGGATGGCCGATACGTGTGGCATCAGCAATGATCGAATTGACGTACTCTTCTTCATCCAAGCGTGCAATTAATTGCCGGCCCTCGTTCAACACACGAATATCCTCTGAAGCGCGCTTCCCTAAGATCTGTTTACAGTTCGCAAGGTGCTGGATGATATCGTTCTGGTCTCTCTGTGCCATGGCTTCACGCAGACCGCGCATGACATACAACAACCGCGCAGACTTCTTACGAAACCCACCACGAAGCATATTGCGCTGGATCATAGTCGCACACGCGTTCAAGTACAGGAATCGAGCCTTCTCCAGCTTTTTCCATTGGTGGCTGGTCAGATACACTTTAGTCTTCCCCACCACGAACTTCTCTTCTTCCAACACACCGATAGCAGACAGCGAACGCAGTAGAGACTCCAGCGTTCCTCGGTGACCACAGACGTTCTTATAGCGTCGGAAAAAGTGGCCGTACGTCAGATGGACAGTGAAGATCGAGCGGCTGGCTTGCATGAGCTCTACCAGATGGTTCTCTCGGATCTGCTTCATCACGTAGGCCGAATCGAACACGCCTTCTTCCAGGTCTTCATTGGGCTTGATACATACGAGAAAATTCTTTCCCGTGTGGTTCAAAGCATGCAGTAAAGCGTCAGCTTGGTTGTACACGTCAGTCGCTGCGCTGTCACTGGATGCCTTTGCCTCCTTTGCCGAGCTGATAGAACTCCGGAACTTGGAAGAAGTGCTTGTTCGACGAGTAGCTTGTTTAGCAGCTTTTTCACTGGACGCTGCAGCCATTTGAGCAGCTCCCACAGCATGGAGAACAGCGTTCTTAGACGACTGCATGATAGCTGCACACGTTGAAGAGATACTCAGCGCGTTCTTAGCTGAAAGGCCCTTGCCATTGTACGTAACCTTGCCGCAGTGGTGCTGAACAATGAACATCAGCCGCCAATCCTTGGACGGCGCCAAGTATTCGTTCGTCGTATCAGCGCCCATATTCGGCCGCGACAATCCGCCAACAGCTTCGTTACCAGAGAACAGCTTGTTGACGAAATCCTCGTCATTAGGAGCGCGTATCTTGGCGTTTTCGGTCAGTAGATCGAAGATACCGAAGGGCTTATCCTCGAATAACTGCAGACACTTTTCCTGTTCACTCGTAATGTCCACGTTAGAATGCACAGTCAGTCGGTTCTCCACTTGTTGCGACTCGTCTTCCAGATCTGAGAAATTGATCGCTAATGTGTTCTGCACGTAGAAATGGTGCACTTTTTCACTCCAATAATTGAAACAAAGCTGGTCAAAGCTGTTCTGTGACGGCTCCAGGTTTTCAAAGCCAACCATATCCAACACGTGGACGCCTTGTGAATTAATCACAATATTTGACTTCTCGTAGCGATCAAAGATGCCGCCCAAAATGCCATTTAGCGTCTCCACGAGGAAGTTAAACAGCGACTCGTACAAACTCCGGATAAACGTGTCTCGTGCTTTACGTGCTTGATTTACAGTCACCACTTTCAACGACGACACGGTCTTGCCGCCATCCTTTGAGAAAAACTGACGAGTGCGGAAGTAATTGTCCAAAACGACAGGCTCCACCTCCAGAAGCTTCGCCGCAAGCAAGATCTGCGCTGGATCCTTCAATGCGCACGACTGAGCGTCGCTTACAGTCGTAGAGTTAGCGCCATTCACCGACTTGCCACCTTCCGGGTCCGGAACGAAATCCACATTGCCCAAATGCAGCAACGCAGCCACAATACGCACGATCTCGACACGCTGGTTCTTCCTGATCCTCAAGGCTGAGAAGCTGGACATGAGGTCTCTGTAGTCTCGAGCATCCAGCGCAAAATTCGTAAGTTCCGGGTCTGCCTGCTTCAAAAGATCGAACTCCTCCACACCCTTGTTCATCTCCAGCGAATCACGAAGTGTAGGGTCATGCTGCACACCAGCGAGCACTTGATAAAACACGTGGAAGTTGCGTTCATGGCTGCGACAGTCGATTACGCGAGATTTCTCGAAATAATGGGTCGTAAAGCCGCCTCCGATCACGTAGCCATGTTTACTGAACTCCACCGAGATCATTTTAGCAAATCTGGACGAGTTTGGGTTCTGTGTGGTAGCAGCGTTTCCAAATGCCTCCAGAATTGTAAAAGCATGTAAAATCTGCTGTCCAATGGGATGCAGCACGCCTGATTCTGCTTCTGAGTCGTGTCGAGGCGTAGCGCTGTCTCCGATCTCGCACAAATACTGTACAATAAGTTTGGCCGCTTCGGACTTCCCTGCGCCCATTCCTCCAAGCAGAATAACAGCCTGATCCTCACCTGCATCTTGCATACATCTCAGAGCATTTTGAGCCAATGCAAACACGTGTGGCGGCGCGTCGTTCACTGTGTCCTTCTCGTAGAGCGGCGTCTGCTCTCTGCTCTTATTGTAGGCCTGCATATGGTCCGGTGTGTATATAGGCAATGGGGTCACAGGGTTCACACCTACTAGGACGCGATCCACCCACGTGTAGACCTGCTCCATGCGATATCGTGCTCTTAAAGTGTAGAGCGCTACGTTCTCCAATTGTTGTGGCGTGAAAGTCTCTGTGCGTCCAGCATCCCCATTGGTTGCCATTAAGGGCACATTACTGAGGTCGTGTAGCTCCAGAGGCAACAATTGCTTGGGGTGGTGGCAGGCTGGTAATTTGACCAATGGACGATCGCGGATAGCGCGCTCTTCGCCGTCCTCCGTGTGTACGACCGTCACGTGCTGCTCCTGGTCGGAATCCTCGTCGAACACGAAGCCCGTACGCACCACCACGGCGGACGTACAGATGCCGCTCTCGTCGCTTACCCAAACAAAGTCTCCTTCCTCGATGGATGCGGTCTTCTTGACACTGTGGCGCACCTGACGCGACGGACGAGGGGACGCCTGGGAGGAGGATTGATCGCTACTGAGGCGGAAGCTCCCGGGACGCTGCTGCCCATTGCCGGCGCTGCGGTAGCTGCGGCGCGGACCGCCTGCGTCCGAGCTCATTGCGGGTTACGCTTCGGAGACGGAGGCGATTTGCGAAGGTAGAGCAGGGGAAGGCGCGGTGCAATTATCCGGATGAAGGCACCGTTTCCGGATGAATTCGCCCTAATTTCAGCCGATTGGCTGAAATTAAGGTCTCTCTTATTTTATAGCACCAAGTGAAAGAGACTAAAAGGAGTCGTTCAGCTCGAAAAAAAACCATTAAAGTTTTCGGGCTGAACACCATCCATCCCACTTGTGTGCTTTTCAAATGCCATGTAGTTTGCATGTTGTAAAATGAATCAACTAATCGGTTTGAAAAGGAATATGTCGTTTTAAAGGGGGTTGTGGTGTCGATAAAGTTCTCTCGGTGACATATAATAAGTTACCGCTAAAAGTGAAATTTATTGTTGGGAACCACCCCTCGCGGCGACAATATCATTACGTTTTGTAGCTACAGAATCGCCAGTGTTGCACCACGGCGCTTATTAAGCTCGCAATTCGTCTACAAATACAAAATACACTTCAATATGCAAATACATTCTGCTAAAAAGGTTTGAGATGCATGCACTTCCGCAACGATTGTTCGTAATGTATGAGTCAAATAGCCAATATCAGTATTTGCAAATGTACCCAAGACGCTTAACCATACATACATCAATGCTAGCATTTTGTATTGAATTGTTCTTGCCCCTTTCGTGATGTCACGACATACAGCCAATAGCTTTGAGCTTGTGTCGCGTATATACTGTGTTAAAAGAGTTAAGGATACGAGCACCGTACCAGCCCTCATGATGACAACGCAAAACTATTATAGTAAGGAATAACATCTTTTAAGCGGAATAAGCGTATCACAAACTTATTTTTTACTCCCCATTGAACCTACTTGTGCGCTTTCATCCTACTAGTAGGTCAGCTTATAATTAGTTCGCGAGCTTTCAACGATCTTTCATTGGCTGATAAAAAACGATTGGCAATTATAATCCTGATGACGTTAAGCTTTTT